AGCAACCCCAGCTGTTGTGATTCTGTTGAGATTCAGGGTCTGGCAACTTGAAAAAGATGGCATTCAACTGCCTGTTGCTAGGAGCCAATTGAATGGAGACAAGGATTCAGTCTTTCAAATAGCTTCATTCTGATGGCAGCGATCTGAGAAAAAGCTGTAGCACAGATGACTCAAAAAATTCTGTCATCTCAGAATCAAACCAAGTTTTAACAGGGTCACCAGTGATAGGGGTGGGTTAAGGGTAACGGATATGGGATGGGTTCTGGAGTTTTGTGGCCTGGGGTCTGATAAAGTTGCTTGTTCCATCATGTCTCCCCATGGTGGCTGGCAGATGTCCTTGCTATTTGAGGCAGATAGTCTGCAGGCTTCTTTGCTGATGGGACATTCTGCAGGTAATTTCTCATATTTTCATGTCAGGGAGATTTGATTACAAATCCTTAGTTCCTGGAAAACAGCTTCACAGCTAACTAATCAATTGGGTTAGAGGACCATTGGCAAAGTTGTCTTAAACATACACTATATTTGAGCTCATGCGGCTATTGTTGTAAAATCACTTCCCTCCCTCTAAAAGGTGCAGAGGTTCAGGTCTAGCTCTGAAACCTTCCAGAGAGAGCATGACCAGGAGAAGGAAATAAGACTAACCCACTGAATTTCTGTGAACCATGAGAACTCTTGAACCAGAAAAGATTGTTAGTTTCCTACCTCAGAATTCGTAGCTTACTCCTTCAACAATCATAAGTATTATTATGATTCCAGTTTGCTTCTAGAACCTTTGTTAAGAATTGCAGTTTGTGCGGAGAGAAGGGTGCAACAATGAATGAATGGAATTCCAAAATCTCTGTAGATGTTCATTGAAATGAAAAAGAAACAAACTAAATTAAAAAAAAATTTAAAAAATCAGAAAAAAAAATAAAAAGAATTGCAGTCCTACCTAGGAAGAGGTGACACTGTGAAAGTGGACCCAGATCCACTTGCTGGCTAACCAGCCTGCTTCTCCCATTGAAAACAGTGCCTGCCACCTGATCCAAAGTAATGTGCTTTATATGAAAGCTTGTCTCAAAACCTCCATCAAAATGGGTTTTGCCTCCCTAACTTCTCAACATCTATGCTCAGCTGGAAGCAGTTAAAATTGTTACCCTGTTTCCCAAAGTTGGGAAACACATAAATCAAAAGGAGAGTTGTAACTGTTAGTAAAGTAAAACTAATATTGTACCTCATCCAGGGCTGCAACTATTAGTTGAAACATCATTTGGATCCTATCAATGCCTGGTGCCATATTTTTTGCCAGTGCCTTCAGTGCAGCTTCACCTTCTTCTGTCATTATCATTGGATCTTGTTCATATGATACTTCCTGAAATTTTTCATTGTCAGTCAGTTATTTTTCTCAAGTTGAAAGAAAGAAAAAATTCAGTCCTCGAGTTGCAGTATTGAAGGATATTATAGGAAAAAATCTTGGATGGTCTAGGAAGCATCAAAAGAAAATGAAGGGAATACGCAGAGCCTGGTGACTTAGTGATAAGCAGTTGTACTGCCAATGCAAAGACACGCAGTTTGAATCCACTAGGTGATCTATGGGAGAAGGACGAGCAATTAACTGCCTCTGAAAACATTGGAGGCTCAGAGCTGTTCCATCTTGACAGTATGCAGCATTAGGAAACTAGTTTCTTTCTTAAATACCTTGAAATAATGTAAGAGAACACTTTGTGCTTCCTTGAGCATTCTGCCTTTTACAACTATCAAGGACTGTATTTTATAATTTATAGAATTAAAAAAGGCTAGTGCTCTTTCCTATAACATTTAAAAGGGAAATTTTTCTCTTAGCCTAGCAGAAGCAGTTGGCAAGATTTCTTAGAAAAACTGAAGCCCTAGGGAGCTCTCATGGCCTAATGCAAGAAGCTGCACTGCAGTCATGAAGGCGTGAGGTTCGAATCCACCAGATGCTCCCCTGGAGAAGGAGGGGCAATTTCCTCCTGTACCAGTCAGGCCTGATTCAATGGTAAACAACAAGAAAAAAACAAACAAAAAAAGCAAACCCAAACTGAGGCCCTTTATTGCTGTTTGCCTTTCTGTTCTGCAATCTATAGCTAAGAAGTATTCTCGCTTGATGAAAGAAGAGGTAAGCTCTCCTCATGGTTCCCAAGCTCCACAAGCCTTGGAAAGGCAATTTTCCCTCTGTTTGTTTTTTGTACTATAGAGACCTTCTGTTGCATCCCATTTGCTCCTCCTTTCAGTCATTATTGACTACTGTAGACACATAAAGCCACATTCAGCCCTGAGCACTTATAAAGCTCTTTTTTAAAAATTAATTTTAATGAACAGTTACAGAGACTTTGGATTTTCATTCATTCATTATTGCATTTTCTCCCTGCCCACCCCCTCCCCACCCCAGATCATTCTTCTCTTTGAAAAGTAAAAGAAAAATTATTTCATTGGTGTAAATCTCCCCACTCCCTAACCCCCCAGTATACTCCACTATGCAGCCTTCATTCTGGATTCTTGTCTTGACCATAATACCCAATCATATATTGCTTTTAAACAGTTCTCTCCCTCATCTGTTTCAATGCCGTATACATAATTTATCCCGTCTTTTCATTCTCCCCCTAACCCCTTTATCAGTCCTCTTACATAACAGTGGCATTATGCTGTATTTGTCTTTTTATGACTGAGATATTTTCATTCAGCATAATGTCCTCCATGGTCACCCATTTTGTGTAATATTTCATGAGTTCCTCATTTTTCAGTGCTGCATTGTATTCCATTGTGTGAATAAACCATAGATTCTCTATCCATTCATTTGTTGATGGGCACTTGGGTTGTTTCCAACTCTTTGCTATTGTGAACAAAGTCTAAATAAACATAGGTGTGCACGTTTCTGTTTGGGTGTCAGTTATGGTTTCTTTAGGATATATTCCCAGTAGTGGAATTGCTGGGTCAAATGGTATTTCTATTCGCAACTTTTTGAGAAAGCACCATACAACCTTCCATAGTGGTTACACCATTTTACACTTCCACCAACAGTGAATAAGGATATGAACAGGCACTTCACCAAAAAGACATTCAGATGGCAAACAAACACATGAACAAATGTTCAAAATCCTTAGCTCTAAGAGAAATGCAAATCAAAACAACTATGAGATATCTCACTCCAGTAAGAACAGCAAAATTTAACAGAACAGCAAACAACAAATGCTGGCAAGGTTGTAGAGAAACTAGATGGCCAATTTCTGATTTGCCCATCCCTGTCAGACCAGTCCTCTGAGTTAACAAGCATGTTCCTTTTGCTGAAGGATCCTCTGATCAACTTGGGAATTCTGAGCATTTGCATCTATAAGCATCGTCCAGTCCAGAGCAAGCCATCAGGGTACAACATCAATCTTAGCTCACAGCACGGATCATCTTCTCTTCATTTGTCCTTAAGTGGGAAATACTGCACTGCTTGTAGAAGGGTCTTGTGTTAGGCTTCACTGAGATAGATGATGCTTCAGAGACCTGGCTCTTTCAGGTATCAGTATCTGCAGGCATTTTGTATGAAGCTACTAATCTTTCCCCAAACTAACCTCCAAGGTTGCTACCTGAGCTTGTGGTAGTGTCTGTGTTTCTAGTCCATTGCTTATTCACTCTTTTGGGACCACAGCTAATCCCCTGCTCCCCACTGCACTTCTGTCTAGTCTGGAACATCTCATCAGTTTTCTATAGAACGTGACATGTCAGAGTGGGTTAAGTGTAAACATTGGGGAAGGAGCCTCTTGGCCACTGTCCCCCACACCTTCAGCGCCTGCCCACTGTATCCTTGCTTTTCCTGGTAGCGGATACCCACAGTTGGGACATCTTTGTGTAGCCCAGTGGCTTGCATTGGGTTGGATTTCTGTGGAAGGACAGATATCTCAGCAGGGTGTGTTTCTCTGATTCCTCCGCTTGCTCACTTCCCTCCCATGCTTTCCTCCTTTCACATCTGCAGTGACATTCCTTATGTGCTTTGGTTTCTAGTGTGTTTTAATTTTGTGGAGCTTACCATTTCAAATGTATCCACTCACATTTTCATATTGCTTCAACACAAAATCAAAGAAATAGAATTTAACAATGAGTTTAATGTGCCAAGTTTGATCTCGATACTCCCACCTGGCACACCAGAACTTGCGGATGCATTTCAAGCCCCACACTTGTCATGAAGGTTTTCCACGTGATGCTACGTGCCATTGATGTGTCTTTGCTTCTATACAGCCACATCAATACTTTCTGCTATTTACTTTCTAAAAAGTTTGCAGCACTTAAAACTTAGGACAGAACCATATTCAATCCCATTCAGCTCAACTTACTTGTTCTTAAGCTCCCATTTTGTTTGAAGTATAAGATTGTTTATTGTGTGGAAACCTAGAGATCAGCACTCAAGAGTCCTGGCCTTGTGGCATCAGCACGATAGGCAGGAACAACCGAAAATTGTGGGTGAGCAGGGCTGGAGCGTGGAGATGCACAGCCTGGAGTGTCAGTCAGGGGAAAGCGGATGATGGCAAGTTTGTAGCTAGAAAGCTCCAAGCTCTGTGAAGGTAAAACCAAATGAATAAAACTTGTAGCTTCAGCAAAAGAGTAATAGTAAACCAACCTCAAGAATGGTTGTCCCATATGATGTGGCCCTTGAGACCCACGAAGCAAGTCTGTCTTGTGTCCCTCTTCTCATCTGCGAGAAAAGTGCCTGGAATAGCAGTGCCAGACCAGCTGCTGTTGAGTTGCTTCTAACTCAAAGAGACCCAAGTGTTGCGGGATAGAGCTGTGTTTCATAGAGTTTCAGGCTGTGGCCTTCAGAACACGAACACCAGGCCTTTCTTCCATGCTACCTCTGGATAAGTGTCAACTACTAGCCTTTTGATTAGTGAAATAAAGTTCTTAATTATTTGCATAATTCTAATAAATAAGGAAAATCTTAATGACTGGTCAGCTGTTTTGGATATACTACTTTCTTATGGTTTCTAAAAAAATAAAGCTTATGTCCCTCTCAAATTTAGATTTTCCTTGCTGCTGCTTAATTTGGAGGAATACTACTTTGAACAGCACACAGCTAGCCATATCCAGCATAAAGGCAGTCCAGATGAAAGGTAAGGGAGATTTTTAGGTCTCTTTCTGATGTCGGATATTTTTTAAATCAAGTGCATCAGCAGTGGGATTTACAAGTTGTCATAACTTCAGTATCTTCCCAGAACTCAGAAGCGTTGCAGCCAAGGCCTATAAGGTTGTAGGCCCTCTAACTGGCTGCCCAGAAAGATGCCTTTTATTCCTTTCTCCTTCCCTCCTTACGATGCTCTCAGTATGTCACAAAGCAATGGTGCTGAAACAAAAGGATGGTACATAAATTGGTACTTTCACAATAAATAATGTGATTTTAACTAGGAGCAAAATCCATTTTGTTGTTCTTATTAAATGACTATTTACTACAATAAAAACTTTCTTTGATTTTGGAAGCTATATATAGGATGTGGAATGAAAGTAGTCGTTTAAAATACTAAGTAAGAAGTAACTAACGTGAAAAGCTCTTCCACCAAAACCGCACATTGACTTCTTTTTTTGGGATGTTTAACTATAGGCCACCATCTAGAAGATTCTTTGACATTGTTGAGAATGCCTGTCTTTCTCCTACAGAACAGCTGGTGGATTTGAACTGCCTGTCTTTGGGTTGATAGTGCAACTCCCTATCCACCAGGCTACCACAGCCACCTTTCTTACATTAGAGAAACACACACATTTTCAGTTTTCTTTGGTTTTATCATGAAAGGATAGAAGATAGATGGTATTTAACCGAAAGCAATGCAGGAATCCTTTGGATTTTTTTGTAGTTTGGGACATAACCTGCTTCCTTTGCATTCATTCACATTAGACACTTACCGTTTGCCAAGTTATTGCCTGTCAACAAGTCAGTTTTGACGCATGATGACCCTGTGTGTTACAGAGTTTAACTGCTTCCGAAGGTTTTCTTGGCTGTAATCCGAATGAGAACAGAGCTTCCATGGGACTACTGGGTGGGTTTAAACCACCAACCTTTGGTGTAATTGGAGAGTACAGTTTGTGTCATCCTTGTCAGTACTTGGCTAGTAGCAGAAAGATAGTCCGTTTACCCAGAGCATGCTGGAAGAAAAGCCTGACTGTCTACTTCCAAAAGGATGCGTTCTGAAAACCCTCCTGGAGGGCAGCTCGACTCTGCGCACTGGGGCTCAGAACAGTCATCGTGAATTTGGCAGCAGCTGGGGTTCCTGTGACCGGAGCAGTTCTGCTCTTTTGTGCCTTTTTTAAAACAAAATGTGTTTGTTTATTATTGAAATACAAATGTAAGAAAGCGAATGAAAAGATTGTTTTTGCAGTTTTAAAGTTGTTAATTGGGCCAGTTGGTACAACCTTATAGAGGTGAATTTGGTAATATCTAACTAACTAGATTGCTTGTACACTAAGTAATCTGGCATTTTTACTTAAAATAATCTATGTTAAAGTTATATAGCAAATACTAAAAAGAAGACAAAGTTTGGCATTTACAGCACTGTTTTCAATAGAAAAAGACTAGAAGCAATGTAATAGATGATTGATGACGTGTTTACCTGAAAAGTGAGTATATCGTTTGCCATTAAGTGAGAACCAACTCATTGCTGACCCTTCAGTGGGTTTTCAGAAGCAGGTGTATTTTCAGGTAGAATTATATTTATAAAAGAAATAGCAATTCAAAGGAAAATTGAACAGGTAAATTTAATAATAGATAACATTTCTGACTTAATTGATTTTGAAATTTGATTGATTTTTTAAAAACTCATTAGTTTGATTACGTAGGAGCTGTAGTAGTTTTGTGGCAGGCTAAGAAGTTGCTCTGCCAACTCAAAGGCAGGTGGTTCAAATCCACCAGCTGCTTCATGGGAGAAATATGGGTTCTTTCCTTTCTTGCAATTTATAGCTTCTTAAAGTCCCTGGAGGGTCAGCTATGAGTCACTTCCAACTTGATGACAGTGAACAATAACAACAGTTTAATTATATGTTTCTGATGTGAAGCGACAAGTTGAAAAACAAGTGGCAAAGAAGTCATGAATTGTTTTCAGTAATAGAACTAGTTGCAAAAATACTGGTTTTATGATTATGTAACCACCTTATATACATAGATAAATGAGTTTATATATTGGGGTATAACAAAGTAGTTATGTTCATGCCCAGGCCAAGAATATCTAGATAAGAGTTATAATTTTAAAGAATTTAAACAGAAGCCTTGCATTTTTACATTTGAAATGGAAATACTTAAGTGAATGAATGTATTTTGTCCATAATGTCACAATGAATTGGAGGCCCCCTTGACCAACAACGTAAAACAACAGCCATTTTTACTGAGCACCTACTGTATGCTGAAACATAGAGGTGAAAGTCATAGGCAGGTGTGTTGTTGTTATGTGCCATCGAGTTGGCCACGACTCATAGTGGCCCTGTGCACAGTAGCTCTGCACCCTGCTCTATCCTGAGCCAGTCTCACTGTCTCTGACACACCTACCCTCATTACCCCAGTTACTGTGTCAATCCATCTCATCCGGGGTATTCTCCTGCATTGTCTCTCTACCCTTCCAAGCATGATGACTAGGCCCTCCTGGCACTACACACAAAGTATGTTAGACAGAACTTCAAAATCCTTGCCTCCAAGGAACAGCTTGGCTTTACCCTCCCATGGACAGACCTGTTAGTTCTCTTGGCAGATCATGATACATGTTCAATATTCTTCTCTAGTACCACAACTCAAAGGCATCAATTCTCCTGTCCTCTTTGGTCATTGTTCACCTCTCTGATGCAGATTTGGTAGGTAATGGAATTGTCACAGTGTTTAGCAGATAAAACTAATTCTCTAGTCTCTAGGGAGGTGGGGATAAGAAACATTCTTTTTGTTTTGTTTTCTAATGTTAAGTAGCCTTCCTTCTCTATAATCACAAGCTTAATATATTAATTGACATCTTAGAAATGTGCTTTTTAGCTAGAAAGTATGATGGTTTATCTATGAAATTCTCCAGGTGCATGAAATAATCTTTTATACTTTGACCCCTAGGAAATGTAGAGGCTCCTTAAAAATATGCTCTAAATCAGTGATTTTTGAGCCAGATGCTATATCCCAGCCCATTATTAAGGTAAGCACATCTTAAATATTAACATGACCATTCCTACTTTTTGTGCAGCTTGATTTTGCCTTTTCTAATTTTAATAATATCTTTATTTTATTCAGATTCCTCTAAGAGATTGTATAAAAATAGGAAAATATGGAGAAAATGGAGCCAGTAGACACTTTGCAAAGTATGTTATTGGTATTAAATGTTAATTGCATTATATCTAAAAATTTTAGGAGTTTAATGACTTTTTTCTGCATTTTAGGTCAAAATCTGGGGGAATTTCAATAATTTTCAGTCAGGTAAGAAACACATAGTAAAATATTTTTTCTTCAGTGAAGATGTATATGTATAGTATGGTTAAATTACTTAGGAAAATTTCAAAGGGACGCTGTTGGGATAATTTCATTTTTGTTTTTTTAAAATGATTTTTATTGTGATTTGAATGAAAGTTTACAAAGAAATTGATTTTTTATTCACTCATTCATGCAAAATTTGTTTTTTTTGTTTCTCACTACTCTTATTCCGTCCATTATGCATGTCTGTTTCTAGATTGTTTAGATAAACATAGTGTCTGATTGTCCATTCAATTTAGAATGACTTTTCCTTCTCCTATTCCAATATAGTAATTATTATCTAGCCATTGTTTTCCTGTTTGGATGGTTTTTAAAAGCTTTTACAGTTTACTAATTGAGAAATAGATAAATGTCTGATTGTGAGTGGGTGACAGAATAAATGTGAGTGTGAGAGTGTGTGTGTGTGTGTGTGTGTGTGTGGAGGGAGGAGTGCATTAGGGTGAGTATGTGTGTGTGAGAAATAGAGAATAAGTGTGAGTGTATGTGTGTGTGAGAGAGAGAGAGAGAAACTATGTAGTTTAAGGGATACCATCCCGGATGGATAAATGTCTATGGACTGGTTGGCAGACTGGTAGCATGGTCATGTTGGAGAGCATCTTGCTCAAAAAAGGCAGGTGCTCAGAGATAAGGGTGCTGTGCCCCCTCCTATAGCGCCTGATCACTTAGGAGACCAGAGACACAGTGGCCATCTTGTTCTCGCTTCCGTTGTCAGGACAGCCAGGGCAGCATTTCAGGCTGCACATTGAAACAGTCATGGCTCTTGGGGTCATTACATTCTGTTAATGTCAGCTGCTTTTCCTTTACGTTTCATGTTCCCAGGATTGTGCTCATTTATTACTGCTCAGTTAAAACATGGCTTATCTCCTGTCTTATCACTCACGTGTGTATCTATGTTGCTGTAAGTAAGAAAGGAGTAGCATTGTGCAAAAATGAAAGAATCTTTTTAAAGAGAAAAGTAAACTTGGTGGGGTATAGGGAGGAAAATGTGTAACAATGAATTAATGGAAATCCAAGTTTTCTGTAAAGTTTCATTACAATAGCAATTTAAAAAAAATAAAGAAAAAGAAAGAAAGGAGTAGCTTCAGTACCTCATGCTCCAGCCCTGGATCTCATGCCTTTGACCTTCACCACTAAGGCCTGGACCCTGCAGAACCCCTAGCACTCTGAGTGGTCCAGAGAACAGTGGTTCTGTTGTCAAGCGAGTTTAGGAAGGGTGTTAAAAACGGAGTTGCCTTATGAATCATGGTGAAGTCTCTCTCGAGGAGTGATAGGCAATGGCAAGGGACACACTGACAAAGGAGATTAATCAGAACTGGCTTTGACAAGCACTGTGGCAATTGGACAATTAAAACAGACATTGGGGGGG